TATTTCCAGGCTGCCTTCACTGTGTTATTCCCAGCAGAGAGGCTGCCCACACCTGCTGGCTTTCTCCGCAGAGATGGCTAACGGTGTGACGGCACCACCCAGCACTTCCTGTGCAAACCTACTTTAGTCAAAAGGCACTACAAAGAAAATGCATTCTACACACACGCTGACACGCTTACCAGACGTCACCCCATCTCTCACATGGGCTCTGGCAGGGGCAGTCCTTCCACACCCCACCAAGGAGTTCATCACAGCTTCAGCTCAGAACAGGCCCTCTCTGCCCTTTATACAGTTCAGAGGTCTTTGACCCAGTAAATAGCAGACAATTGGCTTCTCTCCCCAGGGCGCAGCTTCAAAAGGGTGGACTCAGAGTGGGCCACTTGCATTCTTCTCACCCCTCGGGTTTGTCCTAGGAAATCCACTTTACACGCCTTGTTTCAAAGTCCTTAGCAGTTCCCAACATCTCCATTAACCAAGTCCCTAGGAAAGTTACACTCCACCCTACAATAACACACAAAGCATTGCATTTTAAATACAGTGGGCCCCAATGGATTAAACCTAATTCCATAAGATTTAACTTAAACTGTATTGAATTATCTTAATTCCATAGGGATTTGTCCAGGACAGAGCCGGGGACTGGCTGTCATGGTTTGACCAGATGGCCCTTGCTCCAGTGTCCCTAAGCCCCTTGACCTCAACTGTGCCTGGTTCTCTCTCTGCAGGACGCCCTCCGATACTCAGGCAGCGACGGCATCGGGCAGATCTCCCTGGAGTTCTACCAGAAGAAGAAGTCGCGCTGGCCCTTCTCGGATGAGTGCATTCCCTGGGAGGTGTGGACCATCAAGGTCAACGTGGTGAACCTGGCCAACGAGCAGGAGCGGCAGATCTGCCGGGAGAAGGTGGGGGAGAAACTGTGTGAGAAGATTATCAACATCGTGGAGGTGATGAACAGGCACGAGTACCTGCCCAAAATGCCCACCCAGTCGGAGGTGGACAACGTCTTCGACACGGGCCTGAAGGACGTGCAGCCCTACCTCTACAAGATCTCCTACCAGATCACCGACTCCCTCGGCTCCTCCGTCACCACCACCATGCGGCGGCTCATCAAAGACACGCTGGCTCTGTAGGGCCAGGCGCCTGGGGACAGGGGGCTTGCGCCTTTCTGCTCCCCATCACACAGGATGACCCAGGGTGTCCCGGCAAGTAGAATCGTCTCAGAGCACGGTCCTGGCAGGAGTTTGCTTAGACCCTGTCCTATCATCTGTACATTTCAGATGGAAGCGTTCTGCAGGCTGGACTTGGGCTGTGAATCTCCCTATGTGGGGTCACCTGGGGCTGCGATCTGAAATGTCAGCAAACTGCTCCTTGTGCCACGTGCCCTATATTGCAGCTGGCCTGTTGGCTCCCCTCCCCTGGTCTCCCTTTCCTCCCTCAGATCCCTCCTGAAGCCCCAGTTCCCTGATGGAACCTCATCCCTGCACTGCCTGATCCTGGAGCTGCTGCTGCCTTGTTAGACCGGAATTCCTGGACAGGGCCCCTCCTCTCGCCCCGTCTGTTTGGGGAGGGGCTTTGACAATACAGCGGTAACCTCTGGCTGGCGGTCGAGTCAGGGATTGTATTTCTCTGCCTTTAACACTGTCTTGTTGTAACAGTGGGGAAAGAACTGCCCCCAACAGAGCATCTGTGACCCTCCCAGAGCCGCGGTTAGAACAGCAGTCGGGAGTCTCTGTGGGTGCCCATGGGGCAAGGCCCTTCCCTGCCTCTCTCTCCGCCTGGGAAAGGGGGAGAATGCTGCAGGTGGTCGAAGAGCACACCAGGGCAAGCAGATAGTCTTTGCTAAGCTTTATAAAGCCCCTTCCTGAAAATACTGGGGCGCAGCCGGGCACTTGCACAGCCCCTAAAACCCCTATTCCCTAGTCCGTCCCCTGAAACCAAGTCCACGCCTGACGTGCAGCGAATGTGGTGAGAGTGGCCGCTGTAAGCAGCGAGGGCTGGGCTGGCAGGAGACGTGAGTGCCGCGAGAGAGCGGCGGCTGCTTCTGTTCCTGCAGGCTCCGTCTCCGCACAATGGGTAACTACGTGTATCTGGGTTCACAGGAGCTGTTGCTTGTGTGTGTCGTCCAGTGACCTCACTGCGCTGCCATCACCATCAAAAATACCCCCTTCGTTCTTCCTGACTGCTAAAAGCAAACGAAGCAGCCAGGAGCTCTGTTTAAAGCAGGGGGGAGATCTCCCGCCCCTGTCTCATCAACACACTTACGCCCCCGTCCCCACTTCCTCTCCACTGGAGACTGACGCCCGTGTGTTTGTTACAGACACCCTGGGCTTAGAAACTGACCTGTCTGTATTGTGTAGATCTCATACTCTGGGTGTAATAAACACTGGCCGGGCCTTCTCTTTACTCCGTGTCTCGGGCTGTCGAGAGCGTCTCCCCCCTGCTCAAGTAGCGCCACCTCCACCAGAGTCAGGCTTTGCCGATGGCCCAGGTGTCATCCCAGCAGTAAAGCCCAGGTCTGGTGCGCGAGCGCTTCTACTGCAGAGGGGGAGATGAGCGTGTGGGTTTCTCTGAGTCTACTAATAAACTATTTTCCCATCAGAGCCCTCTGTGTGCTCACGTGTTCTTACCAAGGGGCTGTGAGAGTCGGATGGGGGCCAGTGAAGTGAGAACAGTTGCCGGGTGAAGGGCAGAGGAATGGGGAAGTTGACGGGGGGGCTGAATTTCAGGAGGGTTCAAGGCCAACCTGTTCTGGGCTCTGCAGCCACAGTCCCCTCCAGAACGCTCAGGTCCCCTGGGGACATCTACAGCCAGATTCTCCGAAGAGTCCTGGGCCCAAGCCCTGAGAAGTCTGGCCCTTTCCCCGCGCCTGTGCTTCCATCCCTTGCCTTGGCCAGATCGGTCCTGACGGCAAAACAGATTTCCCACGTTCCTCTGCTTGGCCAGCCGCAGTTAGCAGGATACGGTGCCTCTTGCGTCCACACCGCAGGTTCGGCTCCTGCCTGGGCTGGTCGTCCCCCGGTGGTAACCAGCCACGATGGCTCGTCAGCCTGCTGTCAAATCTCCGGTCAGCTCCCGGAGGATGTTTAAATCCCACTCCCGGGACGCAGAGCCTAGCAGTGGCTGCCTTAGGAGCCCCACCTGGGGCCTGGTTTTCAGGCTCGCTGAGCACTCACCAGGGAGCTCAGTGAGAGCTGCGGGTGCTCAGCACATGTAGGAGACATTGGACAAGAAAGTGAAGCCTCCCGTACCGGTGGCTGCTGCTGAGAATTTGGGCTTTAACTTCTTCTCTGCTGCCACAGCAGAGACGCAGGAGGTGGCTTGGGCCGGTTCTGGGCCTAGGCGCTCTTGTCTCCAGAGGGGCCAGTGGGACACCTTTCACCAGCACGAACCTTCCCGCGGCGTGAATAGCCCCCAAAAAGGACAAGAACATTGTTCTAGCTAAATAGCACAAGCCTAGGAGACCCGTGGAAGAAAATAGCTTCCCAGTAAGTTCCTAGCACTCGTTCAGAGGAGCGACTCAGCCATGTAACCCCAGAGCCTGCCGGGGAGCAGGAATGCCGTGTGAGACCCGTAGGGAAGGACTGATTCACTGCACAGGGGAAAGGACGTTCATACAGCAGTACTAGCGGATGGACTTCAGCGAGCAGCAGTGGGCTAGTCAAACACCACACGGCGGTGAGATGCGAGTTCTTAGCCCCGTAAACAATTGCGGCTTTGTGCGGGTTCTAAGTGGCAGGCAGGTGGGGCACGAAGTCGCGGCGTCTGAGCCGTGGAAGTAAGTTCCAGGAGTGCAGCGATGCTGGGGGAGGAAGCGGGCCCAGTCTAGGCACTGGGGCACTTGGGGAATTTCACTGAGGATCTGCCCTTTAGCATCAACATGGAGGCTACTTCAGCCAGCGGCAGCAGCGCAAACAGAAAACTGCAGCCAGGCTGGGCCTGGCCGTAGCAGCTGTTGGAAGAGCCCAGCCCTGCTAGCTAATAGCCAGGCTAGGAAGTGAAGGGAGCTGGGTCCAGCTGATGCTGCGGCAGGGAGAGGGGATTTACTCCGCCGGGATTGGGTCAGGGGAGGAGGATTAACAAACCGACTGATGAAAAATGCTCCGGAGGGGAGTTGTTCTGCGGGTGCGGGGGGTGAGTCCCAACTACACAAGGGTGTCTGCTGACAGCTGCCCCGCAGGGGTCATGGCTGAAAAGTTTTCTCTTCAAACATTTCTGCTTGAAGCTCAGTGGTGGGCCAAGGTCCACTCACCCCAGTTCAGCCACATTTCGGCTACCTGTATGCAAAAAGAAACAGCCCTAATCCCTTCCTCCCTCCCCTGGCTCCACTCATCTGCCTCCGAAAGGAGCCAAACTTCCCAGCTCTGGTCTGGGGGGACGCATGGACCGGAACAGCACAACGGTTGGCATGAAGGTGGCGAGGGGGGTCGGTTGTTCAGGCCCCGATCCAGGATGGACTGGAGTCGGATTTCCCTGGTTTGTTACTGTAGCGCCTGGCTGAGCAGGGGCCCGTTGGGGGAGGGGCAGTATAAACAGACTAGGAGCCCCTGTCATGATCTTTAGGAGCAGGTGTAGCTGCTGAGGGTGAAATCCGGGCCTCTGGAGGCTGTTCCCCAAGGGAGAGGGGTTCCCAGGGAATCTGGGGGTGCAGGGCGTCTGGTTCCCAGGAGGAGCATGGGGGGTCTGGTTCCCCAGGGATCTGGGGGTGCAGGGTGTCGGGTTCCCTGGAGGAGCATGGGGGGTCTGGTTCCCCAGGGATCTGGGGGTGCAGGGTGTCGCGTTCCCTGGAGGAGCATGGGGGGCTGTTTCCCCAGGGGGTTCCCCAGGGATCTGGGGGTGCAGGGTGTCTGGTTCCCAGGAGGAGCAGGGGGGCTGTTTCCCCGGGGGGAGGGGTTCCCCAGGGATCTGGGGGTGCAGGGTGTCTGGTTCCTGGAGGAGCATGGGGGGCTGTTTCCCCGGGGATCTGGGGGTGCAGGGAGGCGGGTTCCCGCTGCAGGGAAGGGAGGAGCTGTTCCGCCCATGGGGCTGGAGGAAGACTCGTTTCCTGACATCACTGAAGCCCGCCCCGCCCGGGCCCGTCACTGCCCCGCACAATCCCGCTCCACCGGCACTTCTGCGGCTGGCGGCGCCGCGAGCTCCTGGGGGATCTGCACCGGGACCGGGTCCGCGAGGACTGGCTGAGCCGGCAGCGGGGGGCGCTTTGCCAGAGCCCCGCCCGGGAGCCCCTCTCCTGCCCCCGCAGCCGAGCAATGAGCAGCAGCGCCCCGAGCCCCAGCCGCCCCCCGCCGGCCGCCGCCCCGACGCTGGACGCGCTCCTGGGCGCCTGTTGCGCTCTGGGGAGCGCGGCCGCGGAGAGGAGTCGCTCCCTGGCGCAGATCGCGGTGCTCTGCGTCCTCTGCCTCACCGTCCTCTTCGGCGTCTTCTTCCTGGGCTGCAACCTGCTGCTCAAGTCGGGGAGCCTGGTCGGCCAGGCGGGGAAGGAGCGGAGCCCCGCCAAGGAGCTGGAAGCGGGGATGGGCACCTAGGGGAGGGGACCCGGGACCCGCCCGGCCCCTGCTGGAGCCCCGCGCCCGGCGGCCCGTGCTGCGCGTAACGGGACCCCCCCTTTTCTCCTCTCCCTGCTCGGCCGGGCCCCCGGCGCTAGCGAGCCCCGGGATGTCCGTGTGCGGAGCTCGCTGGGCCGGGGCCCCTCGCTGGGTGACCGTTCAAACGGGCTGGAGCCTGAACCGGGCTCGGGGGATGCTCCTGCTCCGGGCAGAGCCGGTTTGGCCTGGCCACGGATAAAGCCAAGCCGGAGCTGGGAACCCCTCGAGATTTGCTGCCGGAGGCTCCTTCCTCGCCTAAGACGGGGTCCGGGACCGGCGGCCGCGGCCCAGTGAGTGTGAACGGTTCTGCTGGAGCCCCGAGGTGGTTTTTCCTCCCTCCGCTGTTCCGTTCCAAATCGGTATTAAACTACATGGACCCTAACTTCGGCTCCGACTTCATTTTCAGCGTGAAATCCCCCCGGGGGGGGGCGGAGGGGCAGTGTCGCGGGAGTGCCGGCGAGACGGGCTCAGACCTGCCCCACAGCGCTCCGGGGCAAAGCGGAGAGGAAGGGGGCAGGTAACCGCGAAGCGAGGGGGCTCATGGGGACAGTGACTCCAGTTTAGCCATGGGTCCCGATCCAGTTCATCCGCTGCCTCCCACCTCCCAAGAGTCAGAGGTGCTTTGTGCAATCAGAGAAAAGTCCAGACCAGTCATATACGCCTGGTGCTTTCAAAGGGCCAGTTTCATTTAATCATTTAAGAACACCCTAGGGATTCCCCCAAAGCCACACGTGAGGAAGTAGGGTGTGCTGGTTAAAACACCACGGTGGGTCAGAGGGGAAGTGAAGGCAACTATCTATACTGTGTAGCTCTACAATCAAATGGAAGAAAGGGGAAGTTGATAGTAATGATTAAAAATCACAAGTTAGGAATTGTAGAACATTGATAAGCCAAAGGACAGAAGGTGAACTCTAGGGCCAGCAGAGTTAAGGACAATAAGGAGTTTTGAAAATAAATTAGGAACAAAAAGACTCCTGAGAATGGGGTTGGTCATCACTAGATGGAAATGGTCACATCCTGTGTCTAGGAGCAGAGAACGCAGGCCGGATTTGCTGGATGAGGGACTATCCTGGGAAGCCGAGACTCTGAACAAGACGTGGAGGCCGTGGCGGATGATCCACTGGACATGAGCTCCCAGTGCAACGCTGTGGCCAAAAGAGTGACTGCGACCCTGGGGTGCATCGACCGGGGACTCTCACGTAGGAGCAGAGAGGTGATTGTACCTGTGGCGGGAGTCCTGGGTCCGGCGCTGGCACCTGCAGTTCAAGGACGTCGATCAAGTACCCGGGTTCAGAGAAGAGTTACGAGATTGATGAAAGGATTTGAGAACGTGCTTTATAGCGATGGGCTCAGCGAGCGGCGTCTGTCTAGCTTAACAAAGCGCTCGGGCGACTTGCTCACAGTCTGTAAGTATTTGCCCGGGGAACAAATATTTCCTTGGGGCTCTTCAGTCTAGCAGAGGAAGGTCGGACCCGAGCCAGTGGCTGGAAGTGGAAGCGAGACACATTCGGACTGGACATAGCGTGGGCATGTTTCACATTGAGAGTAATTAACCATTGGTGGCATTTCCCAGGGCCCGGGGCAGATTCTCCATCACTGACCATTTCCAAATCCGGCCAGGATGTTTCTCTGCAAGCTGGGCTCTAGGGATTACCATGGGGCAGGTCTCTGGCTGTGCTGTGCAGGAGGTCAGCCTGGTGGAGGATCACAATGGTCCCATCTGGCATGGGATCTGTGAATTAGCAGCTGGAAATTAAAGGATTCAGGACTCATTTTCACCTCCCTCTGCCCTCCAAGATGTTTGGGGATCTCACAGGGCTGCATAGATGTGGGGCAGCTCATAGGGCCATTACATAGCTTGAGCTAGTGTGACAGCCAGGAGCCCTGACTCCCTCCCAGCCCTGTGCTCTGACCGCTACCCTACATTTTCATCGGCGGTTATGATTTATCTGCAACTGTGCTCTTAAGAGGGATGGGCCCTGCTCCACGGACCGGATGCTGTAAGGACAGACGAGTGGCTGAGGTCAGGAGAACAACGGGCAATGAACTCACCTCCCTGATTCCTCCAGACAGCAGGAGCTGGGAGCTAATCCCAGTATTTCTGATTTCAAGGGATTAGTCTGGGGAAATGGTCCCTGAGTGAAAAGTGACCTAGTTATGATTGGCTTCTGCTGGGAACCGTCATGAAGCATCATCCATAGGGAAGCCTGGATCGCCTTGAGCGCAAAGCATAGAGTCATGAGTCTATTTCTGGGCTGACCTTGGTCATGTCACTTAATCCTCCTGCGCGTCAGTTTCAACCCTGTGTACAGAACAGAGCTAACAGCCCTGAGCGGCCGGCCGGGCTGACTGTGAGGTTTGGTTCGTTAACGTGCCAGCGTGAAGGCTGGGCTGGGCTTGCCAGGACTCTGGTTGAAATATCCAGTGTATTAGTGTGTTACTTTCTACGTAGCAGAAATCCTACCTCTGGCAGGGCAGATAACTCGCCTTAATGCATCTCTCAGCTACAGCCAATAACAGTGCTGGAGTCTGTAATCAGTTTTATAATGTGCGTGGTTCCGGGTATTGCAAAGATGCTGGACAGGGCTTTACTTTTATTGCGTACATAAGAAGCAGAGATAAAGAGCCCCCCTGCCCCGTCAATCCCCGGGGATATTTCTCTGGCTGTTAGCTCCTGGCTGGAGCAGATGCTTAAATCTCTGCCTGTTAAACATGGGGAACGTAACTATGCCTGCCACACAAATCCTGTCCCTTTGAAAGGCCTGATTCTGGCAGGGCAGGAGCTCAATGCTTGTCACTTAGCAGGATTGGGCCCCAAAGGCAGAGGCTCTGTCCTGCTAGGGAAGATATGTATCTAGTAGTTAAAGCGGCAAACGGGGGGTCAGGACTCCTGGGTTCTATCCCCGACTCTAGGAGGGGACTGGGGTGGACTGGTGAGAGCAGGGGGGCTGGGAGCCAGGACTCCGGGGTTCTATTTCTGGATCCGTGAGACCTTGGTAAGTGGCTTCCCCTCTGTCTCTCTGTTTACCCGCCTGTGAAATGGGGGTAATACTGGCGCTCCCAGAGGCGCTGCAGGGGCTGACTCCTGGCGGTTTGCAGTGTGCTTTGAGATCCTTGCAGGGGCAGCGCTGTGGGAGCACAGGGTCTCATCAAGCAGAGCGCCAGCCGCAGCTCATGGCTCCAGAACAACCTGCTCTTTCCCTCCGCACTGGGGTTGGGCTCTGCGGAGAAGGTACGTTCTGTGCTAGGCAATCAGTGGCCCTAGTCGTTAGCAGGTGACTTCACTCGGAGACGCTTGACCACGGCCTGCCGCGGTTTCCTTGCAGGGAGTCAGACAGGGCCCAGCCCGGCACTGAGAGCCACACACGTCCCTGGCTCAGGGGTTAAGCCCTGCAGAGCTGGGGTGGGACAGTCCTTTGGCCAGCGCAGACCAGTGGATTGTTCCAGCACGCAGAGGGGAGGGCTGTGCGCCACCAACACGGGGGCTGAGCCGGAGGCCTGGCAGGGGGCTGAGCTCAATGGAGCCACGCCAGTTTACAGCACCGCAGGGGGAACCAAGATCCCAATCTGGCCCCAGTCCCATTCCTAAGTGCCTGATGGCGAAGTCTTAAAGCAGAGGCTGAGAGCTCTAAACATGATCACATGGAAAGGCAAGTGGGCCTGCTGGAAAATAATCCTCTGCTGTTTTAATGCCTTCCTGCCAAAACCCGTCTTAGGGGCTGTGACCCACAAAGCCAGTGCCAGGAAGGGGGCCGCGGAGAAGCTGGACTCTGATGCGTGCAGGGAGCTTTCTCTGCAGGGCTCCAGTGCGCTGATCCCGGCTCTGAAACCCACCAGACACCGAGTGCAGGATGGCCAGCCAGGCTCTGCATCTGCATTGGCTGGATCCAGCCAGGTGATGAGAGAAACGGATTCTGATCTCAGCTCCCCGGGGGGAAATCCAGAGTCACCCCCCTGCAGTGGGGTCAGGACCAGCTTGTCTCAAGTGATGCCGGTGTAATAGTGAAGTGACTCCAAAGGACGGACGGTGGATTGACAGACTCTGGCCCCAGCTGAGCCCCACGGTTAGGTCTTTCCCAGAGGAGAAGGCCCCCTCCTGGCCTTGCCCCTCCCACTAGGAGTCCGTCCCAGTGACTCCAGCGGCCAGTCATGGGAGCGGGGGCAGGGCCTGATGTATTTCTTTGCACGCTGCGATTGTCATTATTGGCTGCTCCTCCAGCCCCTCTTGGCCTCAGTACCACTAAATCACCAGACCTGGTTTGTGCCACGGGGCAGCGCCCAGGGTTAGAACTGGGTTAGTGGTGGGCTGTGTGTGGACGCTCCAGCTCTGTGCCCTGAGGGAGCCGTGCAGCCCTGCTGGGTCACAGTGACCTGAGAGCACTGGAGAGCAGGGCCTTTCATTTCTGCACACACCGTGGGCCGTAACCCGCCCCCAGCCTCCTCCCGGTAGCCACACGTACCACAGGGACTAAGCCACCGTCTCCCTGGCAGGCAGTCTGTCTGGCCTCCCCTCCATTTCCCCAGCCCGTTCCAAACTGAAAACTCTCCAGCCCCTCCTCTGCCTTAGTCTCTTTACCTGGCCAGGAGATCAACTGATCTCTTTGTTCTTCAACACCTTCAGTTGGCACCTTTGCATGGGAGGGGCCCAGGCCATCAGTTGCCAGGAGACAGGGTGTCGGCCATTCTCTGTGCAGACCCCTGCACACCCCTGCCCTCTAGGGCTCTGCAACAATCACACACCCTTATCCCACCACCTAGATACTTAAGACATGCATAGGGAAAACTGAGGCACCCACACAGTATTTAGAGAAAACATTAAGAACATTCCCACTTCATCACACCCCATTTCCCAGATGGGGGAGTGGAGGTGCAGACACTTGCCTAAGGTCAGGCAGCCACTTAGTAGCAGAGAAAGGAAGAGAACCCAGGAGTCCTGACTCCTGGAGCTCTGCTCCAGCACGACCAGTGAACTTGGCTGCCCCCTAATTCACACACCCACAGAATGGGGAGAATCTGTTCATCCTCATATACCCCTGGCTCTCTCTCCTACACCCCAGCACGCTCTCTCATACACATCTATCTATCTATCCCCACCCACCCCCTCTATCTATCTATCCCCATCCACCCTATCTATCTATCTATCTATCTATCTGTCTTCACACATCAAGTATCAGAGGGGTAGCCGTGTTAGTCTGGATCTGTAAAAAGCAACAGAGAGTCCAGTGGCACCTTTAAGACTAACAGATGTATTGGAGCATAATCCGACGAAGTGGGCATTCACCCACGAAAGCTTATGCTCCAATACATCTGTTAGTCTTAAAGGTGCCACAGGACCCTCTGTTGCTATCTTCACACAGGGACTACTCTGAAGAGTTGCATTAA